GCAACCTCCGTCTCCTGGGTTCAAGCAATCCTCTGGCCTCGGCCTCCCAAGTAGCTGGATTACAGACATACACTACCACCACCACCAAGCCTGGCTAATGTTTGCATTTTTAGTAGAGACAGGGTTTCACCATGTTGGCCAGGCTGGTCTTGAACTCCTGACCTCAGGTGATCCTCCCAACTTAGCCTCCCAAAGTACTGGGATTACAGGCATGAGCCACCATGCCCAGCCCTATTTTATTTTACTATACTTCTTAATATTGTGTGGCAAAGACTATCTTTCCTATATTTTTAGGTATGCCCAGAAATTCTGGGAAACAGGGATATGCAAATCTAGCAAAATTATATAGCAAATACAGGCCAGGCATGGTGGCTCACTCTTATAATCCTAAAGATTTAAGAGGCCAAAGCAGGAGGATCACTTGAGCCCAGAAGTTTAAAACCAGCCTGGGCAATGTAGGGAAACACTCTACAAAAAGTGGCAGGGTGGCTTGTACCTGTAGTCCCATCTACTCAGGAGGCTGAGGCAGAAGGACTGCTTGAGGCCAGGAGTTCGAAGCTGTAGAGAGCTATGATTGCACCCCTCTACTCCAGCCTGGTAGACTGTGAGGCCCTGTGTTTAAAATAATAATAATAATAATAATAATAAAGACAGCAGGCCAGGAGCAGTGGCTTATACTTGTAATCCCAGCACTTAGGGAGGCCAAGGCAGGTGGATCACTTGAGGTCAGGAGTTCAAGACCAGCCTGACCAACATAGAGAAACCCCATCTCTACTAAAAATACAAAATTAGCCAGGTGTGGTGGCACATGCCTGTAATCCCAGCTGCTCAGGAGGCTGAGACAGGAGAATCGCTTGAACCCAGGAGGTAGACATTGCAGTGAGCCGCGATCATGCCATTGCACTCTAGCCTGGGCAACAAGAGCAAAACTCCATCTCAAAAAATAATAATAATAAAGACAGCAAATACAAATACAATTAAGCCACCAGGTTTTGTATGTAATATACATGAAACAATTAGTTATAAAAATAATGTAGCCAGAGCAATCAAACAAGAAAAAGAAATAAAAGGTATTCAAATAGGAAAGGAGGAAGTCAAATTGTCTGTATTTGCAGACGACATGATTGTATATCTTGAAGACCCCATCATCTCAGCCCAAAATCTCCTGAAACTGATAAGCAACTTCAGCAAAGTCTCAGGATACAAAATCAATGTGCAAAAATCACAAGCATTCCTATACACCAAGAACAGACTTAAAGAGAGCCAAATCAAGAACGAACTGCCATTCACAATTGCTACAAAGAGAATAAAGTGCCTACGAATACAACTAACAAGGAACGTAAAGGACCTCTTCAAGGAGAACTACAAGCCACTGCTCAACGAAATAAGAGAGGACACAAACAGATGGACAAACATTCCATGTTCATGGTTAGGAAGAATCAATATAGTGAAAATGGCCATACTGCCCAAAGTAATTTACAGATTCAATGCTATCCCCATCAAGCTGCCAATGACCTTCTTCACAGAACTGGAAAAAAACACCTTAAACTGCATATGGAACCAAAAGACAGCCCGCATAGCCAAGTCAATTCTAAGCAAAAAGAACAAAGTGGGAGGCATCACACTACTGGACTTCAAACTATACTACAAGGCTACAGTAATCAAAACAGCATGGTACTGGTACCAAAACAGACATATAGACCAATGGAACAGAGCAGAGGCCTCAGAGGCAATACAACATATCTACAACCATCTGATTTTTGACAAACCTGACAAAAACAAGCAATGGGGAAAGGATTCCCTGTTTAATAAATGGTGTTGGGAAAACTGGCTAGCCATGTGCAGAATGCGGAAACTGGACCCCTTCCTGACACCTTACACTAAAATTAACTCCAGATGGATTAAAGACTTAAACATAAGACCTAACACCATAAAAACCCTAGAAGAAAATCTAGGCAAAGCCATTCAGGACATAGGCGTAGGCAAGGACTTCATGACCAAAATACCAAAAGCATTGGCAACAAAAGCCGAAATAGACAAGTGGGACCTAATCAAACTCCACAGCTTCTGCACGGCAAAAGAAACAGTCATTAGAGTGAATCGGCAACGAGCAGAATGGGAAAAAATTTTTGCAGTCTACCCATCTGGCAAAGGGCTGATATCCAGAATTTACAAAGAACTAAAACAGATTTACAAGAAAAAAACAAACAAGCCCATTCAAAAGTGGGCAAAGGACATGAACAGACACTTTACAAAAGAAGACATACATGAGGCCTACAAACATATGAAAAAATGCTCATCATCACTGGTCATTAGAGAAATGCAAATGAAAACTACATTGAGATACCATCTCACGCCAGTTCGAATGGCGATCATTAAAAAATCTGGAGACAACAGATGCTGGAGAGGATGTGGAGAAATAGGAAGACTTTTACACTGTTGGTGGGAGTGTAAGTTAGTTCAACCATTATGGAAGACAGTGTGGCGATTCCTCAAGGACCTAGAAATAGAAATTCCATTTGATCGAGCAATCCTATTACTGGGTATATATCCAAAGGATTATAAATTGTTCTACTATAAGGACACATGCACACGAATGTTCATTGCAGCACTGTTTACAATAGCAAAGACCTGGAACCAACCCAAATGCCCATCGATGATAGACTGGACAGGGAAAATGTGGCACATGTACACCATGGAATATTATGCAGCCATCAAAAACGATGAGTTCGTGTCCTTTGTAGGGACATGGATGAACCTGGAAACCATCATTCTCAGCAAACTGACACAAGAACAGAAAATCAAACAGCACATGTTCTTACTCATCGGCGGATGTTGAACAATGAGAACACATGGACACAGGGAGGGGGGCACTACACACTGGGGTCTGTTGGGGGGAAATAGGGGAGGGACAGCGGAGGGTGGGGAGTTAGGGAGAGATAGCATGGGGAGAAATGCCAGATATAGGTGAAGGGGAGGAAGGCAGCAAATCACGCTGCCATGTGTGTACCTATGCAACAATCTTGCATGTTCTCCACATGTACCCTAAAACCTAAAATGCAATTTAAAAAATAAATAAATGAATAAATATAATGTGACATAAATTGTCAAGCAGAGATTAGAATTTCAAGGAAGAAGGGAAACCATAGACTACAGCAAAAGTTCTTAAACTTGCACTGTGTCAGAATCAGCTGGAGCGATTGTTAAAACACATTGCTAGGCTGTGGGATTTCTGAGTTAATGGGTGTGTAGTCAGGGCCAAGAATTTGTATTTCCCACGAGTTCCCAGTGGTGCTGAGGACCACACTCAGAGCCACAGAGTATATGGCGAATACCCTGAGGGAAAGAAAAGCAGCCTTGAAGGACCTGGTAGAAATTAAATTACATTAAGAGAAACTAGCCTTATGCTATTTTCAGAGGCAAGTGATGACACTGTGGACGGTTGAGTTCAAGGCTAGAGAAGAAAGTATTTGATCATAAGTCAGACTACTCAGAACGCTGTAGGCACATCTCCTATCAACCACCGCTTCAGCTCCAACATTTAGAATGAGTCTTTTCCAGGCCGGGCAAGTGGCTCACACCTGTAATCCCAACACTTTAAGAGGCCAAGGCGGGCAGATCACAAGGTCAAAAGATCAAGACCATCCTGGCTAACACAGTGAAACCCCGTCCTACTAAAAATACAAAAAATTAGCCACCTGTGGTGGCCTGCACTTGCAGTCTCAGCTACATAAGAGGCTGAGGCAGGAGAATTGCTTGAACCCGGGAGGCATAAGTTGCAGTGAGCCGAGATCACACCACTGCACTCCAGCCTGGGTGACAGAACGAGACTCTGTCTCAAAAAAAAGAAAAGAAAAAATGAGTCTTTTCCCTCTTCCCGAGAGGAAAAGAAAGGTTGCCTGTCACTATCCAAGAGAGTAGTGAAGCCTCCCATTGAAACTGGCCTATGTATTAATGAGAAGCAAGGTCCTACACCTTGTCCTCTGAGACAGCATGAAGTGATGCTCTTCTGCTCAGAACACTGAGATGTGAGAACTTCCACTGCCAAAGCAGTGAGAAACAAGCCCTTCCACCTCAGCAGCAGAAAGCAGATCCCCACCATAGCTGCAGAGAGAAGTCCACTGTTCTGGCAGCAAGAAGGAAGCTGATCACCTACCACCACAGCCACTGATATTCGAGGCATGCATGTTTGTAAGTCAGATGTTTATACTCTGAATCAGAGTACCTTATCATATACAGCCTGCCTGCTGTACTTACTCTTAAAGAATGTATAACCTAAAATGCCCAGTAATACATCTTCTAAGTCTATTTATACAAATGTACGTACACATACACTCCAAAAAAATGATAGGAAACAAATCCAACCAATAGCGATTCACTCCAGATCGAAAGCTTACTGGTAGTGTCTTCCTTCTTATACTTTTCTTTGTTTTCCAAATTATCTGCAATGACAATTTCTTTAATCTAAAATGAAAGTTGTATATTTTAAACCTAACACAAAGTAATAATAATTACTGTTTGTATTCAAGCTGGTACCACTTAAGGGTTTGTCAAGGATCATAATTCATAAATATTTTTCTAAACAAAATAGGAAGGTCAGAGCTGGACATGATAGCAGGTACCTATAGTTCCAGTTACTCAGGAGGCTGAGGAGGGAGGAGAACTGGAGTCCAGGAGTTCCAGTCCAGCCTGGCAACATAACAAGACCTCATCTCTCTCTGAAAAAAACAAAAACAAAACTCTGGGAAGTCTTGGGGGGGAAAAAAAAAAAAAAGGAGACCAAAAGCCAAGGACTACAGATAAAAATAGTCAAATTGCCTATGGAAGGTATCAGTAGATATTCTGTAAATGTCACAGAAATAGGCACTCAAATATTATTGAATGAATATGCAAATTAGATTTAAAATAAGTTTCTTCAGCATATGTAACTAGCAACTTGACTTTTTAAAATTTTTGTCCTGTATCTCTTTTTATCCATTTCTGAATTACTTTTCTTAAAGCTATTTCCAAAGAAAATTCCAGCATACTGGTCCAGGAATGTTGTGGAGTCCCTACACTATGGGCTATGGAAAAAGGACACTTAAGCCAGACATATGCACACCTCCAAGCTCAAGCATGGCTGCCTTTGCTAATGCTGCCCGGATTGCAATAATGAAAGAAAAGGATTTATTTAAATTTCTTGAAGAGCTCAAGAGTAAGAGCCATTTGTTTTCTCTCTCCTGTTGTAAGAGACTTATTTGTATATGACTGGTCAGAAAGAAGTGCTATAGCCCAAATGCTGTAAGAACAGGACCACAGCCTCTTCTGAGTGACTACTCTCTGTCACACAGATGTCATTTGAAAGCAAATGTAGGTGTTACCTGAATCCTCAGACACCTGTTGAAGCCTCGAGTCTGTGGATGGGTGGGGCGTAAGAGTAGTAGAGTGAAGAATGAGGGCTGTGGTCACTGAGGAGAATAGACAGAGCAAAACAGGCACCACCTGTTGGTCTTTTATGTGAACAACTTCTTACATTGTTTGTGATGCCATTTTTGTTTTTATCTTTTTAGGATGCAATTCCCATTCAGATAGCCCATATTCAAAAATACCCATCTTTCCATTGTTCCCTAATGTGGATGGGGTGGTAATGGGAAAGCCATTCAAAGACATGCAGAAATTAGAGATGCTAAGAAGAAAGGAGCCTTTGAATTTCTTTGAGGATTACTTTTTCCATAAAAGAGACTGGAAAACACAGGTGAGATTTAGATTATGTCACATTAGTTAATTTAAATTCTTGGATTTTTAAGCACTAACTTAACAGAACTAATAACATGCTTTTTACAACAAATATTTTTAGTCATTATTTTCAAACCAGATGCCATAGCCATGTTCCTAAATTTAAGCCCAGGTGTTGACATTTCATTCAATTTCAACAAATAGTTAAACTTACTAAGAAAAAATACAGGTTTAGGGTTGGGGATGTTATATAGGAATAATAGCAATAAAAGGTTCTCTGATCCTATCTCGGACTACTCCCCCATCCACTCAGGGACCAGAAGCTGCTTCCGTCCACTCTGGATTATTTTTGGGCAAACACCACAGGATGACAGGACCAGGCCCACAACCCAAAGGAGCAGTGCTGTGATGGAGGGGCCATCCTGCCCTCGACTAGGTCCTTATTTATGGTCCCAGCTGCACCTTCTGGCCTTGCTTCAAGCTCTGTTGACTCTAATCTTTTTGCCTCCCTTCCAAGATATACTTTTGTCATTATAAGTTATAAGGTCTCCAGCACCTATGCCCAAGTTTCTAGATACTCTCTCAGGAAGCTCTGGCCTCACCCCAGGTAAGGCCTCTTGGCCTGAGAAACAAAATGGAAACTTAACTGCAGACCAGCCCACCCTGTGGAGCTCTGGGTTCCAGAGGTCCATGTGTGGTTTACGTCACTATACAATTCCTAGAAGGCCCCTCCATGCATAGAGTTTAAGAGGCCCAGAGGGGTATCGCTGTCACAAATGACCTCAAGTTCAGACTTTGTCCTTCTCTCTTCAAATGAAGTCACACTCACAGGCAAATATCACTGAGAAGATGGCAATAAGAAGACATTTATCCTCCTTTAAACTTATGTCCCAACATTCAACTACTCCTCCACCCAAGATGCTTATCTGTTTATTGTCAATCTCTCCAACTAGAATATAACATTCATGTATGCAAGGGTTGTATTTCTTTCACTGAGGTATCTGTATCATCTAAAATAGAATTTGGCCCATAGGTAACTCAGTATTTTTTGGAAGAAAGAATACTGTAATACAAATTATTTCCTGAGAGCATGCTGTATGCTAGATTGTCTCTAATAATCTCGGCAGAAATAATGTCAATAGCTTCCTAAATGGTCCCCTTGCTTCTACAACTGTCCGCTTTAAATGATTCTCAGCCCAGCAGCCAAAGTGGTTCTGTTAAAATCAGATTGAAACCCTCCAATGGCTTTTCATGTCACACAGAATGAAAAACAAATTTTTTATAACTTACAGTGTCCCACACAATCAAAACCTGGGCCTTCTAATAATTGTAGCCACTAGTAGCTGTTTAAATTTCAATTAATTAAGATTAAATAAAATTACAAATTCAGTTCCTCAGTCACACCAGTCACATTATAAATGCTCAACAGCCACATGTGGCTAATGGCTACTGTAGTGGACAACACAGAAATGTAGAAAATTTCCATTATTGAGGAAAATGTTATTGGACATCACTGATCTAGGCCCTCATTGCCTATCCAACAATCTCATCTTCCACTGCTTACCTTCCAGTGTATTCCACTCCATCCACAAGGCCTCTTTACTCTTCCTCTTATAGACCAGACATGCTCTCGCCTCATGGTCTACGGCTTTGCTATTTCTTTTGCTCGAATGCTGTTCCCCAGAGAGCTGCATAGCTCTCCCCTCCCCTCTTTCAGGTCTTGTCTCAAATGTCACTTCAGGAGGCCTCTCTAACAACCCCAGTAAGATCACAATCCCCACATTGTCATTGTACTAAATGCCACTGAATTTATGTTACATGAATTTTCACTTTAATAATTTTTTTTTGAGTTTGGAGCCTTGCTCTGTTGCCCAGGCTGGAGGGCAGCGGTGCAATCTGGGCTCACTGCCACCTCCGCCTCCCAGGTTCAAGCAATTCTCCTGTCTCAGCCTCCCAAATAGCTGGGACCACCATGTGCGCCACCATACCTGGCTAATTTTTGTATTCTCAGTAGAGACAGGGTTTCACCATGTTGGCCAGGCTGCTTTCAAACTCCTGACCCCAGGTGATCCACCCACCTCAGCCTCCCAAAGTGCTGGGATTACAGGCGTGAGCCACTGCACCAGGCCAATAAATTATTTTTTAAATAGGTATTTAAATAGCTGGGTGCAGTGGTACATACCCATAATCCCACCTGATCAGGAGACTGAGGCAGGAGGATCACCTGAGCCCAGGAGTTCAAGGCTGTAATGTGCTATGATCATGCCTGTGAATAGCCACTGCACTCTAGCCTGGGCAACATAATGAGCCTCCATCTCTAAAATTAATTTTAAAAAATAAATTTAAAATAAAAAATTAAAAAAAAAAAAAATAAAAATAAAAATTTTTGAATAAATAAATGTATATGTATTCAAATAAAATCACAACCCCCAGTACCCTACCCCCTTTCCTGATTTTTTTTCATAACACTTGTTACCATCTAATGTATTACATATTTGCTAGTATATTACATCTAATTACTACATATTTATATTTAATTATACTACATGCATACATATGTATATTTACATCTATACTTACTATATATGTACCATATTTACAAATATTATACTACATTTAATGCTATTTCTTTTTTTTTTTTTTTTTTTTTTGAGATGGAGTTTCGCTCTTGTTACCCAGGCTGGAGTGCAATGGCGCGATCTCGGCTCACCACAACCTCCGTCTCCTGGGTTCAGGCAATTCTCCTGCCTCAGCCTCCTGAGTAGCTGGGATTACAGGCACACACCACCATGCCCAGCTAATTTTTTGTATTTTTAGTAGAGACGGGGTTTCACCATGTTGACCAGGATGGTCTCGATCTTTTGACCTCGTGATCCACCCGCCTCGGCCTCCCAAAGTGCTGGGATTACAGGCATAAGCCACTGCACCCGGCCCACATTTAATGCTATTTCTATTAAACTATATGTTTATGTGCATAAATAGTATAATATACTGTGTAGTTTATTACATCTAATCTAATATATTTGTATACTTACAAGTGTTTATGATCTTGAACTCCTGACCTCAGGTGATCCGCCCACCTTGGCCTTCAAATACAAGTGTTTATTAGAGGCTGGGCACCTGTAATCCTGGCACTTTGGGAGACCAAGGTGGGTGGATCACCTGAGGTCAGGAGTTTGAGATCAGCCTGACCAACATGATGAAACCCCACCTCTACTAAAAATACAAAAATCAGCCAGGAATAGTGGTGGGTGCCTGTAATCCCAGCTACTCTGGAGGCTGAGGCAGGAGAATCACTTGAACCTGGGAGGCAGAGGTTGCAGTGAGCCCAGATCGTACCACTGCACTCCAGCCTGGGTAATAGAGCAAGACTGTCTCAAAAAACAAAAAACAAAAAATTTAAAAATTATTTATATTTTTATGAAAGAAGGAAAAAGAAAGAAAGAAAGAGAAAAAGAAAGAAAGAAATGAAATGAAACGAACAGACAGACCCAAAGAAGAAAATAGAGCTATGTGCAGAATTTTTTTTTTTTGAGACAGAGTCTTGCTCTGTCGCCAGGCTGGAGTGCAATGGTGCAGTCTCGGCTTACTGCAACCTCCACCTCCTGGGTTCCCCTGCCTCAGCCTCCCAAGTAGCTGGGACTACAGGTGTGCTCCACCACACTCAGCTAATTTTTTGTATTTTTAGAAGAGATGGGGTTTCACCGTGTTGTTCAGGATGGTCTCCATCTCCTGACCTTGTGTTACACCTGCCTTGGCCTCCCAAAGGGCTGAGATCACAGGTGTGAGCCACTGCACCTGGCTGGAGAATTTTAACTTAAGGAAAATGGTGACATTTCACACAACAGGAAAATTATAGATTATTCAACAAATAGTGCGCTGAGTAGCCAACTGAGAAAAAAAATGAAATTCACATTTCATATACAAATTGCAAATGGATGAAATGTAAAAAGAATAAATGTAGGGCAGAGAAGAATAAATGGAAAAAAAGAAAAGAAACCTTAACATACTGAAATAAACTCTGGGAAGGCCTCCCTAACTGTGACACAAAAGCCAAATGCATTTTTTAATAAAAAGATATTAATTCCACTGCATCAAGATCAAAAAATCTCACCAAGCACGGTGGCTCATGCCTGTAATCCCAGCACTTTGGGAGGCCAAGGAGAGCAGATAACCTGAGGCTGGGAATTGAAGACCAGCCTGACCAACATGGAGGAACCCTGTCTCTACTAAAAATACAATAATAAGCCGGGTGTGGTGGCACATGCCTGTAATTCCAGCTACCCAGGCAGGTGAGGCAGGAGAATCACTTGAACCCGGGAGGTGGAGGTTGCAGTGAGCTGAGTTCATGCCATTGCACTCCAGCCTGGGCAACAAGAGCGAAACTCCACCTCAAAAAAAAAAAAAATCTCCATATGGTCAAAAAATAAATCACAGTTGCCACTCATAACACAAAAGGCTAACTTCAAAGAACTTCAAATTCATTAGGAAAAAAAAAAAACTAACCTATATAAAAATAGGCAAAGGGTAGGAACAGACAGTTCTGAAACATAAAAAGATATTCAACCTCATTCCTCATAAAAGATCCAAGTTAAAACTCTCCTCAGATATTATCTTTTCATATTAAATTGACCAAGATGGAAAAGCTGAAAAAACATGGGTACACTCTTAAGTTACAGGTAGGTTTACAAATTGGTTTGCCCTCTACAGAGGAAATTTGGCAATAATTACCAAAAGGACAGACCTCACACCTTTTGACCTAGCAATTCCAGTCCTAGGGCACCATCCAGGATATACAGATAATCCCTGTACACATGCCAAATGCCATTCCTGAGAGACCCAGAAAAAAGTCTAAACAAACAAATGGTTTAGCAATAATCTTATAAAATAATGTACAGGCCAAGTGCAATAGCTCACGCCTGTAATCCCAGCACTTTAGGAGGCCAAGGTGGGTGGATCCCCTGAGGTCAGGAGTTTGAGACCAGACTGGCCAATATGGTGAAACCCCATCTCTACTAAAAAGAAAAAAAAAAAAAAAAAATTAACTGGGCATGATGATGGGCACCTATAATCCCAGCTACTCAGGAGGCTGAGGCAGGAGAATCCCTTGAACCTGGGAGGCAGAGGTTGCAGTGAGCTAAGATCATGCCATTGCATTCCAACCTGGGCAACAAGAGTGAAACTCCACCTCAGAAAAAAAATACACAAGTAAATAAATAATATACAAATCCTTCCATAATAAAATATACTTATTTATTATGTCTTTCTGTTGTATAATTCAAACTAAAATGTATTACTAACCTTCTTTTTTAAATGTGCATAAAGGCAGCAAATATAAAGCCTATAGACCCTGCCTCAGGTTATTCAAATGACATCCTCACCATTGATCAAATGCTCAAGAAAAAGCAAACTTGTACAGTGGCTGATGCAACTGCTATTAAACAACACGTGAGTATCCTTTGTTGAGTGCCTTCCCAGAAATCACTGACAAAAATATTGTCCACTTCAATACTACACCATAAAACCAAGAGAATTTTTATCTGTTCTATGTCTTTAAAATGAGACAAGATTGTTTCTCATTTTTACCCATTGTAATAACACCATTTCTTTATCTATAATCAAATGGATTCAAATGTTAAGTATTATGATTCATCCTGCTATTCACCTATGCAGCTATACTCACTATTATTTCTGGGACATTCATTTGTTTTATTCCAGAAATATCAAACTAATTAAGGTAATTAACCAACAGTCACAGTGAGTAGTGTACTCAGAGATTCGTGGTGAGTAAAGGAATCTTACATCCTGAGGCCTCTAGCCCTGGGGCACCAGCTGCACCAAGGGCTAAGAAGCTTGAGAAGATCGATAGTTTGGTATTAATACATTGGGAATCTCAGTATTAGGTCAAGGAATAGCTAGGACAAGTATTCTTTGGGCTATCTCAATCTATCCTCCTTGTTACAGCTACCACCTAAGTACTGATGACTATAAAGTTATCGCTAGCCTACACTTCTTTCCTGTATTTCTGTCCTATCTCACTGACCACTTAACGAATATTTCTACCTCTAGGCAGAGTCTCATAGCATAACAAACTCAACATGTCCAAAACAAAACTCATCATCTTCTGCATCAAACTGGCTCCCCCATGGAATTCTATATCTAAGGTGTTTTTTGCATTGTCGTTGTTATTGTTTTTAATAAGGTCAACTATTATTTTAGATCCACAGGGTACATGCAGGTTTGTTACACGAGTGTATTGCATGTGTTTCAGTTGATAGCATCTACTCAGTCACTGAAGCTAGAAGGCCAGCAGCTATCCTTAACTCGGGTTTTTTTCCTCGTTCCTCACATCTACTAATCCCAAGTCTGGCCTATTGTCATTCTCTTTAAAGATTTTTCAGGGCTGGGCGTGGTGGCTCATGTCTGTAATCCCAGCACTTTAGGAGACTGAGGCAAATGAATCACCTGAGGTCAGGAGTTTGAGACTAGCCTGGTCAACACAGTGAAACCCTGTCTCTGCTAAAACTACAAAAAATTAGCCCGGCATGGTGGTGGGTGCCTGTAATCCCAGCTACTCGGGAGGCTGAGGCAGAAGAATCGCTTGAACCTGGGAGGCAGAGGTTGCAGTGAGCCGAGATCATGCCACTGCACTCCAGCCTGGTGACAGTGCGCGACTCCGTCTCAAAAAAAAAAAAAAATACAAAAATTAGCCAGGCATTGTGGTGGGCACCTGTAATCTCAGCTACTCTTGATGCTGAGGCAGGAGAATCTCTTATACCTGGGAGGCAGAGGTTGCGGTGAACCAAGATTGCACTACTGCATTCCAGCCTAGGCGAAAGGGCGAGACTCCGTCTCAAAAAAACAAAAGATTTTTCAAAGCTGTCCCCTTCACTCCATCCCCATTACCACTGCCTTAGATGAGGCAGTCTCCAGCCTGGTATCCTCCAACCATTCTCCACACAGCTGCTAATAATCCAACATGAAGAGCCAACCATGGCATTGTCCTGCTTAAAAGTGAACACGATCCTCTCAATGATGGCAATTTCAACTCTATTTTCTGCTTAAGGGATTTATCTCGCTTTCATTAGAAATGGTAGCTCACTACAGCATGATTTTCACTGAGGAACACGCTCTTGCTAGCCTCACAGAGATCACTGACTGATCTGACTGATAAGGTTAAGTCTAAGGGCCTCTCTGTCCTTTGTCATTATTTCTTCTTCCCACTTTAAACTTGACACTCCAGCAACACCAAGTGCCTAAACCCTCCTACCATACCTCCAGGATGTTTACTGCCTTGGGGTCTCTGTTTATGCTGTCCCCTCTCCCTGGAACACCTGTCTTCCCATCACCACTTACTCCCTCAATTTGATGAAATCCTTGAGGACCTACTCAGCTCAGCATCTTCTCCCAGCCAGTTATCCCTGTCCTAGGCTGAACTGAGTGGCTGAATTGGCACTCCTGTTATATCCATAGCCTATCTCCACCCCATACTTCAACCTATTTTAGTCTATTGTATTTTTCATATCCTCATAAAATTTCTTATGACCTCATTATTCCCAAGCAGTACATTTTGATTGTCCATCAACTCCTAGCTCACGTGTCCTCATGAGGCACCACCCAATGTATAGACTCAGTGACTTTCAAGTAGCCTAGGAACATAACTCTTGGGCTATCTATCCTTGTGGTCCACAAATCAAAGATATTTTAAGGTAACTACAATAAACTTCTGGTCTCTCACTGCAGGTGAAAAGAGCTACCGAAACCTATAATTTAGGAATTGCCCTTGAACACCAGAAAGAAATGCTAAACCTCTGGCGGAAGATCCGAGGGGATTTGATTGGACTAGACTCTAAAAATGAGTCCTTTTATGACACCTTTTCTACTTATACATGGTCCTGGAATGTTTGTCAAGAATTACTTTCTCCTAAGGACTTAAGGTTACATGATGCCTATGTGAATAGAAATTCCTCCCATAAGTCCAGATCCTCTTCCTCATCAGATGTCAGTGAATGTGACACAGACTTAGGAAGAAAAAGAAAATGGAAAAGTTTAAAGGAATTTCAACAATGAGATTTCCACATTTTCTAAACAGCTTATCACAAACTACTTTTTCATAGTTATCAAAATTATGGTTTCTTGCTTTTGTCTAGTACATTCTTGGAAGCTGGAAATTTTGACATCTTTTGGATTCTGACCAGTAAAAAAGTTTCAGTCATAAAATGGTTTCCGTTTCCTAAATCTTAACTAGTAAATAGACGCTGGGCTGTTAGTTACCTAGCAACCAGCTGCCTCTACCTGGTTTATGACTGCCTAAGCCTCAGCAGAAAGGAGAAAAGTTGGCCTAAGCTAAGGGCCCTCCAGGCAATAAACCTGAGTTTAGGGTGAGTGTAAACCGGATTAGGTTTGATTGTTTGTGAAAGAGACTAGAGACTGCAGATGACAATGACCTTTCTGTTTCAGGGAATAAGATCAGCAAGACTTAAAGAACCTTGATTAAATTTGTGTATTCCCATCTGGGCATAGTGGCTCACACCTGTAATCCCAGCACTTTGGGAGGCTGAGGCACATGGATCATGAGGTCAGAAGTTCAAGACCAGCATGACCAAGATCATGAAACCCTGACCCTACTAAAAAAAAATACAAAAAAATTAGCAGAGCATGGTGGCAGGCACCTGTAATTCCAGCTACTTGGGTGGCTGAGGAAGGAGAATGGCTTGAACCTGGTGGGCAGAGGTTGCAGTGAGCCAACATTGTGCCACTGCACTCCAGCCTGGGTGACAGAGTGAGACTCAGTCTCAAAAAAAAAAAAAAAAAAAAAAAGTGAGTATTTCCAATGGATCACCTGAGGTCAGGAGTTGGAGACCAGCCTGACCAACATGAAGAAACCCCATCTACTAAAAATACAGAAATAGCTTATCACATCCATTGCATTTGTTGTTGCTGTTCTTTAATGCATTTAAAAAAGAAGCACATATGTAACTATATTACAAGTTTGGGGGATTATAATTTTTATTATGGTAAAATATACATTACCTAAAATGTGCCACTTCAATCACGTTTAAGTATGTATCAACCATTACTAGGTTTTTTTGGTGTGTTTGTTTGTTTGTTTGGAGATAGGGTCTCTGTCACCCAGTCTGGAGTGCAGTGACACAATCATGGCTCATTGCAACCTCAACCTCCTGGGCTCAAGCAATCCTCCCACCTCAGCCTCCCATGTAGCTGGAACTACAGGCACACGCCACCATGCCCAGCTAATTTTTTTATTCTTATAGAGACACGGACTCCCTATGTTGTCCAGGCTGGTCTAAACTCCTGGGCTGAAGTGACCTTCCTACCTCAGCCTCCCAAAGTGTTGTTACTATAGGTATGAGCTACTGTGCCAAGCCTCATTGGAGTATTTTTCTGTGGTTCTCAAGGGTTGCCCACAGAGAGACAGATCACTTTTGGACTCAGGAAATCTGAATCTACAAGACTAAATCTGTATTAACCTTCTGATCTACTGTCAGATGGCAAAGTGTTTTATTTCTTGTGCCAATTCTGATCTAAAAATGTAAGGGATGAGATCAACTATTCGTAAATGTTATCCAAGAAGCTGGGTTGCAGATGTGTGGGGGCAAACCAGTCCATCACCCTCAACATATAGAACTTTTTAAATCACTATTCTAGAAAAATTTTGACCCAGAAAAAGGAAAAGATATGTTCAATATTAATGGGGACAATGCCTCATAATGTGAAAAAAAAAAAAATGTTTGAGACAGAGCCTCACTCTGTTTCCCAGGCTGGAGTACAGTGGCATGATCTCAGCTCACTATAACCTCCACCTCCCAGGTTCAAGCGATTCTCCTGCTTCAGCCTCCCGAGTAGCTGGGATTACAGGTGCATGCCACCACACCAAGCTAATTTTTGTATTTTTAGTAGAGACCAGGTTTCACCATGTTGCCCAGGCTGGTCTTGAGCTCCTGACCTTAGGTGATCTGTTCACCTCAGCCTCCCAAAGTGCTGGGATTATAGGCATAAGCCATTGCGCCCTACCATAAAATTATAAAATGTCAGGAAAAAACAATGAAGATAGTGCCCCCAAAGCTGTTTATTTAAATGGTCTTAAGGTAATTTTGTGAGTTGTACCATGAATAGTCAAAGAGTCTAAATATACTTGTTATTATTTATAAAGATACAACGTTGTGGTGAAGAGCTAACCTTATTGATAGATAAGTAACCATATTTTCTAGCTAAAAACAAGATTTATGACTTGATAAGAGACTTGTTTCATATGGATACGGGTGTAACAGGGAATCTAGGAGATATAATTTGGATGCAAAAATATTAGAATTCCTGGAATCTTTCCTTCCATCAGTGGGATAACAGGACAGAATATTTTTGAGTAAAATCTGTCCTGGAAAATCTAAAATGCACAGCAATACATTCTTTCTATTAAATTGTCACACACTGTTGATGACAGTATAAATTGGTATATCTCTGCCGAATTTAGTATAGTATCCATCCATTCATTGACGAGTTATCTACCGAGTTGCACACTGTGTGCCAGACCTAGTTCTAGGACCTGGACATATAACAGTGAACAAACAGGTAAAATGACTTAACCTCACAGAGCTTAGTGATGGAGCTGATTATAACCATTGACTCAGCAATTCCTCTTCTAGAAATTCATCCTACGGTGGCTCAAGCCTGTAATCCCAGCACTTTGGGAGGCCAAGGCGGGTGGATCACGAGGTCAAGAGATCGAGACCATCCTGGTCAACACGGTGAAACCCCGTCTCTACTAAAACTACAAAAAATTAGCTGGGCATGGTGGCGCGTGCCTGTAATCCCAGCTACTCAGGAGGCTGAGGCAGGAGAATTGCCTGAACCCAGGAGGCGGAGGTTGCGGTGAGCCGAGATCGCGCCATTGCACTCCAGCCTGGGTAACAAGAGCGAAACTCCGTCTCAAAAAAAAAAAAAAAAAAAAAAAAAAAAAGAAATTCATCCTAAAGAAATAATCATGAATGTACAAAATGATTTCATTACAAAGATGTGCACCATGTTGAGTTTTTAATAGTATGAAACTTAAAGTAGACTAAATTTCCAACAAATCATGATATAGCTATACAAAACAATACAAGAAGGACAGTAAATTATGTTGTAAAAGAATATTTCGAACAAAAAATAATATTCCCAAGTTATTATTAAGTTAAAAAGCAGACTACAACTGCTAAGTGGTACGGGAGAACTTCAAGGAGTCGTTCTAAAACTAGATTATGACACTGAATACACAAATATAGATTTTTATGAAAATGTACTGAACTGTACACTTAAAATGGATGAATGTAATTATTTTTTTCAAAAAGCACAAAGCATTCTGTTCTGATTCACTTATATAATTAAATTAGAAAAAAAGGACTGGGTGGACATAAACGAAAGAGTTAATGAGTCAAATTAATGGTGGGAAGGGGCATTTTCTTTGTCTTATCAGTTCTTTTTTTTTTTTTTTTTTTTTGGAGACGGAGTTTCGCTCTTGTTACCCAGGCTGGAGTGCAATGGCGCGATCTCGGCTCACCGCAACCTCCGCCTCCTGGGTTCAGGCAATTCTCCTGCCTCAACCTCCTGAGGAGCTGGGATTACAGGCACGCGCCACCATGCCCAGCTAATGCTTTTTGTATTTTTAGTAGAGACGGGGTTTCACCATGTTGACCAGGATGGCATCGATCTCTTGACCTCGTGATCCACCCGCCTCGGCCTCCCAAAGTGCTGGGATTACAGGCTTGAGCCACCGTGCCCGGCCTTGTCTTATCAGTTCTATAATAAACATTTATTTTCCAATAAGAAAACACAGGCCAGGTGCAGTGGCTCATGTCTGTAACCCGAGCACTTGGGGAGGCGGAGGCAGACTGATTCCTTAAGACCAGGAGTTTAAGGCCAACCGGGGCATCATGGTGAAACCCTGTCTCCACAAAAAATGCAAAAATTATCTGGGAATAGTGGCAAAAACCTCTAGTGCCAGCTTCTCCGGAGGCTGAGGTGGGAGGATCACTTGAGTCTGGGTGGCACAGGTTGCAGTGAGCTGTGATTGTGTCACTGCACTCCAGCTTGGGTGACAGAGCAAGGCCCTGTCTCACAAAAATAAAAAGGAGGAAAAAAAGAAAAAAAAAATGCTGTTTTAAAATTAAAGTTGTTGGCAGGGCCCAGTGGCTCATACCCGTAATCCTAGCACTTTGGGAGGCCAAGGTGCGCAGATCACTTGAGGTCAGGAGTTCCAGACAAGCCTGAGCAACGTAGTGAAACCCCATCCCTACTAAAAATACAAAAAAATACAAAAATTAGCCAGGAGTGCTGGCAGGTGTCTATAATCCCAACTACTCCAAAGGCTGATACACGAGATTCACTTCAACTGGGGAGATGGAGGTTCAATGAACCCAGATCACACCACCGAACTCCAGCCTGGGTGACAGAGCGAGACTCTATCTCATAAAAAAAAAAAAAAAAAAAAAAACTAGGCATGGTGGTTCACACCTGTAATCCCAGCACTTTGGGAGGCCCAGGCAGGTGGATCACTTGAGATCAGGAGTTCGACACCAGCCTGGCCAACATGGTGAAACCCCATCTCTACTAAAATACAAACAGCCAGTGTGGTGGGGGTCACTTGTAATCTCAGCTACTCAGGAGGCTGAGGCAGGAAATTCACTTGAGCTGGGGAGGTGGAGTTTGCAGTGAGCTGAAATCGCACCACTGCACTCCAGCCTGAGCAATAGAATGAGACTTTGTCTCAAAAAAAAAAAAAAAAAATCAGGAAACAATTAGCTACCATTGTCCTGGGCTAACAAACAAAGGCAATAATCCAGAATGAGAGTTTTTCCTAAAGCAATAATCCAGAATGAGAGTTTTTAACCTTTACAAGCATTTAAGCCATGCTAACCACTGAGCTAGAAGAGTTCTCCTTACTCACCACCAGAGGGACCCTTGGTTCCTCTGAAACATGGTGCTCTCTGCAGCTACAATCCGGTATAAAGTCTAATATCAGAGAACTTACAGCCATGTCAAACTTCCGAAAAATTATTTTAGGTGCTTCAAAAAATAAAAACAGGTTGCACAGGCCAATAAAAATAATTGTATAAAATTAAGTTTAGGATACTTTAATTTCACCAAAAAAGGCTGAAGCTGTTTGACATTTAAAATGTCTCTCAATTATTGGAACTAATATAGGAAATTCAAGTGAAGACAATGAGCTGTCTGCAAGAAAAGATTCAGTGGCATTGTTGATTGGAAACACAACTTTTAGTGAGGGAAAAATAAAAGCCCATAGATGAGAGAACAAGATGCCAGAAATAAATGTAAATCAATCACCTTATCTGCAAACAGCTGGCCTTGAGAAAAGATTAAAAACTCCTTGCACTTGTTTCTGGGTATGGAGCTTGTGTTCAAAATGTTTCAAAAGACCACAAGAATGGCAAAAGCATATTGTCTTCAAATGAAGTACAAGTTCTTTACTATCTTTTTGATTAACTTGTGTATTTTTTTTCCTGATTAGAGAGGGCTTAGAGCTTGTTCCTATTTCTTTGGAGGGAAAAGTGTGGACTCATTCATTGCTCCCCATAGTTTTACCTACAGAAAGAATTTACAATGGAATAAACAATTACTGGCCAGGCAAGGTGGCCCATGCCTGTAATCCCAACACTTTGGGAGACCGAGGCAGACAGATCATTTGAGGTCAGGAGTTCAAGACCAGCCCAGGCAACATAATGAAACCCCCTATCTACTAAAAATACAAAAATTAGCTGAGTGTAGTAGCACATGCCTTTAATCCCAGCTACTCAGGAGGCTGCAGCAGGAGAATCACTTGAGAATCACATTGAAAAAAATGTGCTATGTCTAGCACTGTACTAACCCATTCCTTCTTTTAAAAAAAAAAAATTCATCTTTCCCTTCATTCTGACATTATAGTTAGAATAAATGGAGTCCAAGAGGTATTAGGCTGGTCCGTGTTTGGTCTCTGCCCTTTCCTTCTTTTCCAAGTGGTATTCATCATGATTCTCTTGGAAGTCTTCTCAAATAACCTTGTCTATAACATACTTTCTTCTAGATTCCTTTGAGAGTCAATTTGTATTAGATCTAGAAATAGAAATGTAAGGTTGAAATGTATTACTATGACAACTACATGTGTGTATTACAATCTTGATTGTGCTAATAAGGATAATTATAATAAATATAATAATATGGATGATTCCAGCTGGGTGCGGTAGCTCCTGCCTGTAAACCCAGCACTTTGGGAGGCCAAGGCAGGCAGATCACGAGTTCAGGAGATTGAGACCATCCTGGCTAAGACAGTGAAACCCCGTCTCTACTAAAAACACAAAAATTAGCTGGGCCTGGTGGTGCATGCCTGTGCCCCATCTACTGAGGAGGCTGAGGCAGGAGAATCACTTAAACCCAGGAGGCAGAGGTTGCGGTGAGCCGAGATCGCACCACTGCACTCCAGCCTGGTGACAGACCGAGACTCCGTCTCAATAATAATAATAATAATAATAATATGGATGATTCAAAAAGTTTAGATGGTTATAATTAAAAAAAAAAAAATCTTGTCCTTGGATATTCCATTTGATTTGCTAAGCCTCGTGTTCTCTAAATTAATTTCATATCCCCTTCTCCCCCTACCCCAACCAAAATATATATACACACTGTGTATACATATACACCCACACTATGAAGGGCTGACCGTAGAAACTGGAAATTGCCGTTTCTTCCCGCTGCTTGCCACCTTCTTCAATTCTGAACATCAGCTCCACAGTGGAACTAGGCAGCCTCAACTCTTATAATGATTCAAGATTTTTCCAATTTTTCAATTTGAGGGAGGCTTGGGAATCTGTTAGAGGATCCCAGCATTGAACTGGGGCTCAAGTGGAATATCTTCCACTTTCTGCCCAGCCTGCACGTCCATCAGCACGTCATCAATGAGAAACGACTCCAGGGAGAATTTACCCCTGCGTGGTCCCCTTCCCTAGAGAGCCCTTCGCCAACCCTGGGGCAGCCCCACACCACAGCTCCCGAGCGCCACCCGGGCCGGACTCCAGGGCCGCCCTGCCCCGCCTCCGTCTTTTCCCGCCCAGACACCTCGTCTTCCAGAAGGGGGCGTGGCCCGCAGGAAGTTCTCGCTTTACGGAAAAGAAAGTGTTTCCGGCTCCGGTGTCATGGCCGGCTCCCACCCTGAAGGTGTTCCTGCAGTCCTCGCCGATAAGAGGCAGCAGTTTGGGAGCCGGTTTCTGAACGATCCAGCGCGCGTCTTCCACCACAATGCCTGGTAATCACCCTGCCCCTCGCCCGGCCTCCCAGTCACTCTCCCTCTGTCCCGCCGCCTCGGAGCACTATGAAAAGCCCCTGACCGCTGGCCACAAGTCCAGCTGCCCTACCCGAGGCACTCTCCAAGGGGAGTGACAAGCTCCGAGGCCAGCGACTCACCCTGCCCACAGCTAGGATGTGAGGCCCCTAACCTGCCCGTTTGATTTTCTTAGGGACAATGTGGAGTGGTCGGAAGAGCAAGCCGCAGCGGCGGAGAGAAAAGTGCAGGAGAACAGTACCCAGCGGGTGTGCCAGGAGAAACAAGGTGCGCTTGGATGTACTCTCAGTGGTTTCGATAGCCAGCGTACTACTGAACGCGCCCTCCCGGAGAGGCTAGGGAACCGCGGCCGCCAAGATCCTTTTTTACTGGCCTGATGCAGATCTCAGGAGTAGAGCGGGATAGGGGCGGGATGAGCAAGCAGGGAAAAGGGCTGCCTTGTAACAAAATCTTGTTAGGTAGTAGAGGGTTTTTTTATATATAGTTTTACTTCGGAGGAGGGTAATTTTGTCTTTAATTACGTCGACTAGACCCCACGTTGATAAGACTCGCCAACAGTGTGGTCACCCTATCATCTTACAGCCTGTACTTTGTACATGATTTGCACTTTCCATGAGGAGATGTTTCCATTGAAGCTTCATTTAAGTGATTAGATTTCAAATACGGCTGGGAGAGGGGGCTAATGACTGGTGATTGTGTGTCTATTGTGTGATGGTTATGAGAATTTTGGGCTTCAGTCAAGGAAAGGTGGATGCAGCAGAGTGGAGATAGATCTGGCCAAAGAAAAAGAGACCCCTGTTTGAGAGTTGGATTATTTCATTGCAAAATATCCATAGATACTAAAACTAGGACTGATGGCTCCAGACAATTGAAAATACGACTACAAACTTAGTACCTGCTGAGTTTTGTACAATGAGAAGATTCCAGTTACAAAACGTTAACCCTGCATAGTTTGACAGCAGCTACAGCAAAGCAAGTTAAGAGCTGAAAGGAATTTTGAAAATCATGTGGTTCATTGTCCTCTTTTTACAGTTAAAGACACTTGGACCACAGGACATTAAGTGCTTTTCCCAGAGGTAAGCAGTCAGTAGTAGCAGTAGTGGAACTAAAATCCTATTTCTTAGGGAGTCTTTTGGTTGATTCAGCAGGTGAGTTGTGAGTTGTTAGCACACTCCTTAGTGGATTCCAACTTCCATGGCCACTGTCCTGCTCAATTTGTTAGGTTTTTATTGTTTTCTCCTAGACTAGTCAAGGCCCTGAATTGGCAAAGAGCAGTAAACTTAAATCTAGTACTGTCATGATCACCTTAAAAAAAAGCTTTCCTGGGCCAGGGTGTGGTGGCTCACACCTGTAATCCCAGCACTTTGAGAGGCCAAGGCGGGCAGATCATGAGGTCAGAAGATCAAGACCATCCTGCCTAACATGGTGAAACCCCATCTCTACTAAAAATACAAAAAATTAGCCAGGCGTGGTGGCACACGCCTGTAGTCCCAGCTACTCAGGTGACTGAGGCAGGAGAATTGCTTGAACCTAGGAGGTGGAGGTTGCAGTGAGCCGAGATCGCGCCACTGGACTCCAGCCTGAGCAACAGAGCAAAAGTCCGTCTCAAAAACAAAAAACAGCTTTCATTTAAACTGTCCATACTTCTTTAGTTTCTCCTGTCCTCTGATCAAAACTCTTCCTCTGCTGAAAACACTTTTCCCTCTTATCAGCATTTTTTTTTTTTTTTTTTTTTGAGACGGAGTTTCACTCATGTTACCCAGGCTGGAGTGCAATGGCGCGATCTCGGCTCACCGCAACCTCCGCCTCCTGGGTTCAGGCAATTCTCCTGCCTCAGCCTCCTGAGTAGCTGGGATTACAGGCACGCGCCACCATGCCCAGTTAATTTTTTGTAGTTTTAGTAGAGACGGGGTTTCACCATGTTGACCAGGATGGTCTTGATCTCTTGACCTTGTGATCCACCCGCCTCGGCCTCCCAAAGTGCTGGGATTACAGACTTGAGCCACCGCGCCCGGCCAGCATATTTTATTTTCCTTTAGCCTTGTTTCCATTGTTAGTATCTATTAGTAGTACTGAATTATTCTCTGGGCTGTACACTCTAAAGAACCACAGACAGGAACTTATTTAAAGAACAGCTGCCGGGCGCGGTGGCTCAAGCCTGTAATCCCAGCACTTTGGGAGGCCGAGGCGGGTGGATCACGAGGTCAAGAGATCGAGACCATCCTGGTCAACATGGTGAAACCCCGTCTCTACTAAAAATACAAAAAATTAGCTGGGCATGGTGGCATGTGCCTGTAATCCCAGCTCCTCAGGAGGCTGAGGCAGGAGAATTGCCTGAACCCAGGAGGCGGAGGTTGCGGTGAGCCGAGATCGCGCCATTGCACTCCAGCCTGGGTAACAAGAGCGAAACTCCGTCTAAAAAAATAAATAAATTAAAAAAAATAAAGAACAGCTTCCTGGATTGAATTTACATGGGGAACAAATGAAGAAACTGGGACATTTAATTTATAAAGGAGAAGATTTAGAAGGGAAAATAACTGTCCTCAAATAGAAGAGTTGTTCTGTGTAGCCCTGAAAGATCATAGGACCTTTTAGCCAGAAGTGATGAGACAGATTTTTGCTTACTTTTAGGATTTTTTTAATAGTTAAAAGTCATCCAAAGATAACTTATCCAAAGTTAAAAGTCATCCAAGGATACCTGATAGGTAATAAGTTCTCTGGTTGATTGTCCAAACAGAATTTAGACTCTCTTGTAATGACTAATAGGGATATTCAAGTATAATGCTAGATGGTAGAACTAATGAGCTCAGAAATGGCTTCAGCTCTGGGACTGTGGCTCTACTTGAGGATACTTTTAGTATTAAAATCACATTTGGTAAAGCAGGATAATTGACATTAGACATAAATAAAATATTTGAAAGCTGGTTCTTAAAATTCTTTCTTAAATATTTACAGTTGATTATGAGATCAATGCCCACAAATACTGGAATGACTTCTACAAAATCCATGAAAATGGGTTTTTCAAGGATAGACATTGGCTTTTTACTGAATTCCCTGAGCTGGCACCTAGCCAAAATCAAAATCATTTGAAGGATTGGTTCTTGGAGAACAAGAGGAGTGAAATATCTGAATGTAGAAACAGTGAGGATGGACCTGGTTTAATAATGGAAGAACAGCGCAAGTGTTCTTCGAAGAGCCTTGAACATAAAACACAGGTGCCTCCTGTGGAGGAGAATGTAACTCAGAAAATTAGTGACCTGGAAATTTGTGCTGATGAGTTTCCTGGATCCTCAGCCACCTACCGAATACTCGAGGTAACCTTTTATTGTCTTGGTACTGGAGCATGTGAAGCTCTTATATTTGTGCACATGAGGTAGTAGCATAGAGAGGCTGACAACAAAAGTAACTTCTATTGGATGATACTGACTAGACTTGACCCTTACATTGGCCTGGAATCACCTCCATTTTTTGAACTATTAAAATGCCCTCAATATAGACCAGATATCTGGTGGTCATGATGGATCAGGATCACCCGGGAATACCATATCACTTTCAAAAATCGTATCAATAGCATCATGTGGTACCTGTCACATGCCACTGTACCATGCAGGTGAAAGAGCTCAAGATGATCATGTTATTACTCTGAGAAAAAGTCCCAGATGAGAAGACAAATTGTTGCTTCTCTTCTAATACAGTTATAGGAACAGAGAGGGTAGTTGGGATGGTGCCTGCATCTTAGGCCTGGGAGAATTCTCATCCTCTGATCTTGGGTGGTATTGCAGTCTAGACCTGGAAGAGTGCCTAGGTTGGTATCATAATGTAAATTCACAAATGGGGACTGCACAGGTAACTGGAAGCTGGTTCTAAAACTGATTAGCCTTCGGATTAATTCCTATGGTGTGATCTTAGACAATTTCCATACCGTTTCTGAGCAGCATGACTGCTGCCCCTGCACCTTGTAGTTATGAGGATGGAGATAATGTGTGTAAAATGGCTAAGAACGATGTCTGGCCCTCAATGAATAGTTGCTGTCTTCATTACCACACAGCTCTGTGTTTAGAACAAGGTTGCCAAGGTCCCCTTTTCATACGTTTTTCAGCACAGTCTATTACAAATATTTTCATAATAATAATAAAATGGAGCCCAGTAAGAAAATACTTCATCTACAGGACCATTTCCTAGAACTCAAAAGATAAAAGCAATCCATGCCCTTTTTTCTAAACGAGCTCCTTTCTGCTAATAAAAACCCATGCCCTTGTCTTTTAAGGGTTCCTGAAGTCAAGATCAAAATCAACAAATGTCATGGGCACTGTTTCGCTCTGGTCATTACACCTTCCGTAATACAATTAGGCCAGATTGTTGATTATTTATTGTTTTTCTAGCTTTAGGGAATTAATTCTGGAAGGTTCTGTGATTAATAGTTCATTTCTGTCTGCAGGTTGGTTGTGGTGTGGGAAACACAGTTTTTCCAATTTTACAAACGAACAAGTAAGTATATTGTAAAAGTTTATGACAGCAAAGAAGATAAAAGAGAAGGGTGGCTGAGTGCATTGCTTCACGACAGTAATCTCGGCACTTGGGGACGCAGAGTAGGATTGCTTGAGGCCAGGAGTTTAAGACCAGCCAGAGCAATATAGCAAGAAAAAAAGGCAACGGTTTTTTCTTTCTTTTTTTTTGAGACGGAGTCTCGTTCTGTCACCCAGGCTGGAGTGCAGTGGTGCAATCTTGGCTCACTGCAACCTCCGCCTCCTGAGTTCAAGTGATTGTCCTGCCTCAGCCTCCCAAGTAGCTGGGACTATAGGTGTGTGTCACCATGCCTGGCTAATTTTTTGTATTGTTAGTAGAGACAGGGTTTCACCGTGTTAGCCAGGATGGTCTCAATCTCCTGACCTTATGATCCACCCACCTCAGTCTCCCAAAGTGGTAGGATTACAGGCGTGAGCCACCACGCCCAGCAAAGGTTTTTTCAAAACTCGTGCTGCATCAAACCATCAATAATGGTTATTGGAAAATACGAATTATGTCAGATTTCTACATTATTCATTTATGGGTTGTTTTAATTTATGTTTTGATGTATAAGGTGATTACCTTTGTCATTTGGAAAATTAGACCTAAGACTTGCTAGTGTTAACATTTAGTGCCTTCTTCTAAGGTACAAATGTGTTCAACTTTTCCATTCTGATGATCTCTGAGGAAGAGTCAGCGACTGAGCTGTCATCACCCCCATGGTAGAGTTGAGGAAGCTGACATACATGAAGACGTCTCCTATTCTGCTGAAAACACACTGTTTTTGTGTACTTAAACAGAACACTTCTGACACCAAATGTGCAGGGATTTTGCCAACACTGATCAATTCAACAATAGCTGGGCGTCCTACAATTCAATTCTGACACTGTCTACTTGGTGTCAGATCCCAAAAGTTAAGGGTTCAGTCCCACAAGACTGCCCCCCACTTCAGATGCCAGCTGCGAATCTGGCCCTCTGTTTCTGCCCTACAGGCTATAAATCGGGGCAGCCCCATCTCCAGTTCATTAATTTCCTAGAATGGCTGACAGAACTCAGGCCTCTTGGATTCCTGTGATTCTCCTGCCTCAGCCTCCCAAGTAGCTGAGACTACAGACACCCGCCACCATGCCCCACTAATTTTTGTATTTTTTAGTAGAGATGATTGTTAATTTAAATAGCCACATGTAGCTAGTGATTACCATAGCAAACACTGTAGCTTCCCAGGTTTTTAGTCTTGATTATACCTCCCGGCAGTTGTCCGCTGTAAAGGTCAACAGTTTAGCAAGAGCCAGAGCCCATGCCTTTGAGAAGCTGGAGGTACTACGTTCTCCCAAAAATCCCAGAGTCTCACTCAGAGAATGAGCCCAACAGTGCAGAACAGCTCTGGGCTGTTGTTTCTAAAACACAAGCATACAGCCTTACTCCTCTCCCATTTTATTTACCCCTGTTCTGACAAAAAGAATTCTGGCATTAACGATTGTTTTGTATTTTGATATCTTCAGAATAAATATATAATGTCCTTCATAATTGGAAGTAATTTTGATGGTTTTAAAATCAGTATTTTTTTGTGTTGCCACCTTGTGCTGAGACTTCTGCTAGACTGTGAGGATACCAAGAAAAATAAGCACAGGGATTTTGTGATTTTCATCGTTATCTCCTCAGCATTGATAATAATCAATGCATAGTAGGCCCTCAGTAGTGTCTGGTGAACTAATAAGTGAAAGATGAAATCTCCGCTGTCACGGCACTCCCTCGGTGTGGTGGGGGCCAGCAGACAGGTGCAGGTATGTTCCTGGCATGGAGAAAGTGCCAAGGTAGCTCAGAACGAAGATAAAAGAATTCTTGTGGTGCTATTGAGCAATGCTTCATTTGAGGGAAAAGTAGAATTTCTGTAGCTGGAAAAAGAGAAGACATTGATTTGAAACTCACTAATGGTTTTATAAACTTAATTCTAGCTATGTCCACAGTGCCTCTGAAAGAACATAAATCAAATTTATATCATTTTAACCAAAATGAAATGTGTTGTGACTAATAGATATGGTTTCTTTCAGTGGTAGTGTCTCCCATTTGGTATTTTAACTGTGCTACACAAGAACGAGAATAGACGTAGCTGGATTTGTAGTCTCATTGTTCTGTCTTTTCTGCCCATTTCAGTGACGCAGGACTCTTTGTTTACTGCTGTGATTTTTCTTCCACGGCTATAGAACTGGTCCAGGTGAGTACAATGGCTCCTACTGATTAAAGGGAAAAGGGTCTCCTAAAAATCAAGGTCTCTGGCTGTGTTTTTTTTTTTTTTGAGAGGGAGTCTCACTCTGTCACCCATGCTGGAGTGCAATGGCACCATCTTGGCTCACTGCAACCTCTGCCTCCTGGATTCTCCTGGCTCAGCTGTAGCTGGGATTACAGGCATGTACCATCACACCCAGCTAAATTTTTGTATTCTTAGTAGAGATGGGGTTTCGCCCTGTAGACCAGGCTGGCTGCAACTCCTGACCTAAGGGAATCCACCCACCTCCCAAAGTGCTGAGATTACAGGTGTGAGCCACCACGCCCGGCCCTCTGGCTATGTTCTTATTATATGGTCTGTGTTCTTAGGGTCTAAAAGTAAGATTTACTGATAACAGGCATACCTTGTTTTACTGCACTTCACTTTATCACACTTTATAGATGTGGTATCTGTTCACATGTTAAAAGTTTGTGGCAACCCTGTATGGAGCGGATCTACCAGCGCCATTTCTCCATATGCTAATTTGGGTGGTGTCTGTGTGTCACGCTTTGGTGATTCTCAGAATATTTCAGACGTTTTTACTGTTATGTATGTCATAGTCAGTGATGTTACTGTTGTACTTGGTTTGGGGTTCCACAAATCACATCTGTGTAAGATGGTCAACTTAATAAATGCATGTGCTCTGACTGCCCCACCAACTGGGTATTACCCCATTTCTGTCCCTCTCCTCAGGTCCCCCTGTTCTCTGAGATACAATATTAAAATTAGGCCGCTTCATACTCTACAGTATCCCCTGTGTGTTCAAGTGAAAGGAAGAGCTTCACCATGTTGCCCAGGCTGGTCTCAAACTCCTAGCCTTCAGGGCTCAAGTGAGCTCCTGCCTCAGCCTCCCAGAATGCTGGGAATATAGGTGTGAGGCACTGCACCCGGCAACAAAAGATTTTCAGTAGACAAGACAGCCGTCTGTTGGGAGAAGAAGCCATCTAGGGCTTTGATAGCTAGAGAGAAGTCAATGCCAAGCTTCAAAGTACAGGCTGACTCTTGTTAGGGGCTAATGTAGCTGGTGAAAGATTCCTTTCAAAATATAACTGCTTACTGACAGTGGACATGGTCACCCAAGAGCTCTGATGGAACTATACAAGGAGATTAATGTTGTTTTTATGCCTGCTAACACAGCACCCGTTCTGCAGCCCCAAGCATCTGCCTTAGATGCTGATCCATGGATCAAGGGGTAATTTGGGCTTTCAAGACTTACTATTTTTAAAATGTATTTAATAAGGATATAGTTATCATAGATAGGATTCCTTTAATATATCTGGGCAAAGTTGAAAACCTTCTGTAAAAGATTCACCATTCTAGATGCCATTCTGAATATTCATAGCCAGGCAGTTCACACCTGTAATCTCAGCTACTCAGGAGACTGAGGTGGGAGAATTGCTTCAACACAGGAGTTTGAGACCAGCCTGAGAAACATAGCAAGACCCCATCTCTATAAAAAAAGTAAAATTTTAAGAAATTGGCCAGCTCCGTGTCATACCCGTATAGTCCTAGGTACTTGAGAGGCTGAGGCAGGAAGATTCCTTGAGCCCCGGAGTTCAAGGCTGCAGTGAACTATGGTTGTGCCAGTTGCACTCCAGCCTGGGCAGCACAGTGAAAACCCACCTTTACAGAAAAATTAAGAAATTAGGCTTGATGGCATGTACCTGTTTTCTTAGCTACCAGGATGATAAAGCAAGAGGATTACTTGGCGCCAGGAGTTCAAGGCTGCAGTAAACTATAATCACATCGCTGCTCTCCAGCCCGGGCAACAGCATACAGTTCGTCTCCAAATTTTTTTAAAAAGAACATTTGTGGGCATGGTGGCTCATGCCTGTAATCCCGGCACTTTGGGAGGCCGGGGTGGGTGGATCACCTGAAGGAGTTCAAAACCACCCTGACCAACAAGGTGAAACCCTGTTTCTAAAAAAATAAAATTAAATAAATAATAAGACTAAAGAAGCAGCAGCAACAAAACTGCAGCAATTCAGTCACATCTTCAGGCTTCATGTTTTTTATTTATTTTTTTTAATTTTTTTTTTTTAGACAGCGTCTCACTGTGTTGCCCAGGCTGAAGTAGAGTGACACAATCATAGCCCACTGCAGCCTTGAACTTTTGGGCTCAGGCGATCCTGATGAGAGGATTCCACTAGGATTCTTTGAATTACAACTAATGGAAACATCTAGACAAACTCAAAGCAATAAAGGAGAATGTCATAGAACCTAAGGTCACAAAATACAGCCTCAAGTTCCTCTCACCTCTCATTGCCCATGGCCCATCTGTTTTATCCCCTCTTTGCATACCAGCCTTCTCTAGTCAGTTTTCCTGGTCTTACACATGGCCCCAATGTGGATGGTCCTCCCAGTCTCTTACAAGTTTACCCTGTTCAGGGGTTCATGGTGCCTCACTAAAATGACCACGTCCCAGTTCCGAAGTCCCTGGAAAGTCTAGTTAACACAGCCCAGCTGATAAATACACCAGCCCTGTTTGAATCAGGTTTGCCAATGAGAAACAAACTCACATATTTGGAGAAGATGGACATTGAGGGCAGATACCTTAAAATGTGTCTGTTACAATTGGCCAGGCATGGTGGCTCATGCCTGTAATCCCAGCACTTGGGGAGGCCAATGTGGGCGGATCATCTGAGGGCAAGAGTTTGAGACCAGCCTGACCAATATGGTGAAACCCCATCTCTGCTAAAAACACAGAACAGCCTGGCATGGTGACATACACCCGTAATCCCAGCTACTTGGGAGGCTGAGACAGGAGAATCATTTGAACTTGGAAGGCAGAGGTTGCAGTGAGGCGAGATTCTGCCATTGCACTCCAGCCTAGGCAACAAGAGGAAAACTCCCACTCATTCATAAATAAACAAATACATACATACATACATACAGGCGGGCACAGTGGCTCACGCTTGTAATCCCAGCACTTTGGGAGGCCGAGGCAGGCAGGTCACAAGGCCAGGAGTTCATAGACCAGGCTGTCCAATATGGTGAAACCCCGTTTCTACTAAAAAATATAATAATGAGCCAGGCGTGGTGGCCATGCCTGTAGTCCTAGCTACTCGGGAGGCTGAGGAAGGAGAATCTCTTGAACCCGGGAGACACGGGCTGCGGTGAGCCAAGATTGTGCCACTGCACCCCAGCCTGGGTGACAGAGTGAGACTCCATCTAAAAAATAGTAATAATGAGTAAATAAATAAATACAAAAACTAGCAGGACGTGGCGGATGCACCTGTAATCCCGGCTACTGGGGAGGCTGACGCAAGAGAATTGTTTGAACCTAGGAGGCAGAGGTTGCAGTGAGGCGAGTTCGCACCACTCCAGCCTGGGCAACAGAATGAGGCTCTCGTTCTTTAAAAAAAAAAAAAAAAAAGTGGCCGGGCGCGGTGGCTCAAGCCTGTAATCCCAGCACTTTGGGAGGCCGAGGCGGGTGGATCACGAGGTCAAGAGATCGAGACCATCCTGGTCAACATGGTGAAACCCCGTCTCTACTAAAAAACTACAAAAAATTAGCTGGGCATGGTGGCATGTGCCTGTAATCCCAGCTA